CGGGGGGGGGGGGGGGGGGGGGGGGGGCGCTCTTGGACTGCCCTGCCTTCCCCATCCCACCCCATCTTTGGCTCGGACCCTTGACCGCCCACCTTTTGCACCACTTGCCTTCTATCTTCACCATGCGCGTGGCAGTCATCGGCGCAGGCTTTGCCGGCATCTCCACCGCCAAGTACCTCACCCAGTACGATCACGACGTCACCGTCTTCGAGGCGTGCGCCGACGTCGGCGGCGTGTGGTCCAAGGCGCGTCGCTACCCGGGCCTCGCCACGCAGAACTCCAAGCAGACGTACAGCCTCTCGGACATGGACATGCCCCGCCACTACCCCACCTGGCCGGCCGCACAGCAGGTCCAGGACTACCTCGACGCCTACGTCGACAAACACAACCTTCGCCGCCTCATCCGCTTCAGCACCAAGGTCACCCACGCCACACCCACACCCAACAACGGATGGAGCATCACCACATCCGCCTCGGATACTCCTCAAGATTTCGACCACCTCGTCGTCGCCACCGGCACCTTCTCCCGCGGCAAGATCCCCGAATACAAGGGTGCCCAAGAGTTCACGGCCGCAGGCGGTCGAATCCTCCACTCTTCCGACGTCGGGCTCGATCCAGCAACGATCGAGGGCAAGAACGTGCTGGTGATCGGCTACGGCAAGTCGTCGTGCGACGTAGCCAACGCGGTGTCTGGCAGCGCCAAATCCACCACGCTCGTCGCACGTCGTCTCATCTGGAAGCTCCCACGCATGATCCGCGGCCTCCCCTACCAGTACCTCCTGCTCACCCGCCTCGGCGAGTCGCTCTTCGAATACATCACCCCCTCGGCGTTTGAGCGCTGGTTCAACTCCGGCTCCGGCCGCTTCATCCGCAACTCCATGCTCAACTCGCTCCAGTGGGTCGTCACCGGCCAACTCAAACTCGACCGTCTCGGCCTCGTGCCCCAGGGCCCCTTTGAAGAGATCGCCCGCTCCACCATCTCCCTCTCCACCGAAGGACTCTACAAGAACATCGAGGCGGGCAAAGTAGCCGTTCGAAGAGACGCCGAGATCGACCATCTCTCCAACGGAATCGCCGTGCTCAAGGACGGCACCCAACTCCCCTGCGATTTGGTCATTTGCGCCACCGGCTTCCACCAAGACGTCCCCTTCCTCCCTGCCAAGGTGCAGCAAAAGTTCCTCGATCAGGACGGCAACTTTCTGCTCCACAAGCACATCATGCCCATCGGCGTACCCAACCTCACCTTCAACGGCTACAACTCGTCCCTCTTTTGCCCCACCTCGTCCGAGGCAGCCGCTCTCTGGATCGCCGCCCATCTCGACGGCCTCACCAACTTGCCCAGCGATCAAGACATGCTCGAGGCGGCAAAGGCAAAGTTGGACTGGCTCGATGCAAGGAGTAACGGCAAACACGCGCACGGCACCAACCTCGTGCCCTTCAGCTTGCATTCCATCGACGATACGCTCCAGGACATCGACCTTGGCCTCGGCACCTACGCTACCGTCAGGCAGTGGTTGCTTCCCGTTCGACCCAGCGACTACGCCGGGTTGGGAAGCAAGCTCGGCAAGCGTATTCACCAAGCACGTGCCGCTCAAACCAAGCACTAACACACGCTACACTTGTACATACGATGCTCTCCAACTTTTCCACTTGCTCTTCATCACGTGTGCTCTAGCGATGAACGCTCTTGCTCGGCGCGGCTAGGCTGTGCAGATGTTGTCGGATCCACGCCTCGCGCTGCTCAGGCACATGTCTGAACGCCCGAAAGCGCGCATCCCTACCCAGCACCGCCTGGATCTGGTCCAAATCCACCGTGCGCGCCATATCCACCAGCATCACCTCCTCCTCCTCCTCCTCTTCCTCTTCCTCTTCCTTCTTTGCCCCTTGCTTCTGATCGCGCCGAGTTTCCGCAGAGACCTTCTTCATGCGGCCCCAGAACTCGACAAACGCACTCTCGCGCAGCATCTCGTCGAACGCCCTTTTCGCCTTGTCCTGCCTTGCGCGCTTCCACTCTTCGTATGCCGCGTCGAGCTTATCGGGTTCGTGGCGGTAGACGCTTAGCGGCGGGTGGGCGAGAGCGTCGTCGTGCATCGTTTGCGCGAGTACATCGTCGCGGTGCGTATCGAGCGCAGGCGCATACCGCTCAAACACGCGCGCCAGCTTTTCGCGCTCGGTCTGTGCAAGGCGTCGTACGTGCTCGGAGAACAGCGACTCCTTGTCGCCCTCGGGCAGCGCACCGAACCGCGCATCCGCCTCCAGCCTAGCAGCTGCCGACCGCCAGCTGACGTGCGGTGAGTGGACGGCATCCACCAAGAGCTGGCTGAACTGCCGCCGCGATTCTGACCGTTCCGTCGAGGCGAGTGCGGCCCGATTTGTGCGTTCGATCCTCTGACGCTCCCTACGCACCTTTTCCTCTCGTTCACGCATCGCCCTCACCCTGGCCTCCTCTTTCCCATCCCTCCCATCCCTCCCGTCCCTCCCATCCCTCTCCTTTCCCCTCGATTCCTTTGCTTGCGACGGGGCTTGGGGTCGACGTTCGCCCCTGGCCCACTGGGCAAACAGCTCGAAGCGGCGCGTGGAGCTACCCACCGCATCGTACCTCTTATCCTCCACCAGCCCGGGCGTGTGTTTGGCCTGCATCCACACCGCCATCACCGCCTCCCTTTCCGCTCCACTTGCTGCCTTGGCTTCAGCCACCTTGTTCCGCAGATTCCCGGGCAACTTTTCGCCCAACAGCGCTGTGAATGCCGTTTCGGCTTGCTCGGCCGCTCGCCGTTTCTCCTCGCCCAGCTCTACGAGGTACGCCTTGAAGACGCGCTCGCGCTCGCCATCCCCGCGTCCAAAAGCCCCGAACCGCCGATCGCGCACAAACGCCTCGCGAAAGTCGGCGAACCGGGTGCGTGTCGAGCGCACCTCGGCCCTCAGCAGCGCACGGAACTCGGCCTCGGCACGGCTGCCGCCATCTCCCTTGACTGGCGGCTGGGTGGATCTGGCCGCACGCTTTTCGCGCAGACGCAGCTTGCACCACTCGTTGAAGGCCTCCTCGCGCTCGCGTGCGGCCAGCGCAAGGAAAGATGCGTGGTGCGAGAATTTCGGCAGCTCCAGGTCCCATGGCGCCATGGGGTTGATCTCGTGCGGTGTGCCGTTGAGCGACGTGAGCAGCGCCATGAACGCCGTCTTTTGCTCCTCGGTCGACAATGTCGCTTCCGGCGCTGGCGGCGGAGTGGGCGACGCATCGGTGTTCGACTCTTGTGCCGAGGCTGCAGCTTCCGCCGCCATCTGCTCTGCAATCTGACGCTGCCATTCCTCGTCGTCTTGCTCCTCGTCGTCCTGCTCTCCGGCCTCTACGGCCACAGACTCCGTGTCAGAGACAGGTTCCACATCTTGAGCCTCGACCTCATCCTCGTCTGTATCATCGAGATCGCTGTGCTCGCTATCATCCTCTTCGTCGGGGCGCGCACGCTTGGCTTCGGCCGCACCGAACTCGGTGATAGGCACGCCCTGCTCGGCCTTTCTCTTCTTCTCCCTCCGCTCCCTCTTGAGCTTCTCTCTTCCCTCGCGCTCCTGCTGCTGCGCCACCTTGCGCTGTTGCTCGGCTTCCTGCCTCAGGCTATCCTCGAGCTGCTGCACGTGCGCGGCGATGTGGCCGGGCGCCATCCACTCGCTCTTCTTGCTCGTCTCGTGCCAGAAGAAGGCATTGTGGCGGTTCGTGGTCACCTTGAACCAGCCGTCGGTGCCGGGGATGGGGGTTTTGCTCGTCGGCTTTTCTCGCTTGCGCTTGGGTTGGTGCGAGTGCGTGGGGCGCGTGTAGGTGCTCACGCCCGACGTGGTGTGGTGGTAGTATGCTCGGCCAGCGGGGCTGATGTGCTCCGTCCAGCCAGACGGTAGAGTCGAAGGCCCAGCGCCTGCGTCGGCCATCCTTGCCAAGCTCGTTGTCCGGTGTGGAAGTGGTGAAGAAGAAAGAAGGGTGGGGCGCACATGACAAAAGAAGGAATCCGAGAGCGGCCTTTTTGCTTCGGAAGTCGGGCAATTCGGCCAAAAAACTCCACACGGCTGCTTTTTGGCGTCGAAGCTCGATTGCCGACCACCATCCTTTGCTTGCTTCTTGCAATCCTCAGGCTGTCAGTATGGCGCCTATCGGTCCACAGCTCCCGGGCCCATCCCAACCACGCTCTCTCTCACAGTCTTCTTCAAGCTCCTCGCGTTCCCCCCCTCGCCGAGCGGTAGCAGGACCGCAACTCCCCGCCAACTTTACGCGTTCGCGCTCCAACTCGGTCTCGTCCGACGACGACATCGGTCCCTCCCTACCCTCGTCCTCCTCCCAGCCCGACTCGTCCGGGCTCAACGAAGGCGCCCGACTCTTTCTCGAGCGCGAGGCACGGCGTACCGCTGCGGCCGAATCCGCACGGCTGGCTGCCGAGCAAGCGGCCAACTCGCGCCCCGAATGGATGCTCGTCCCGCCCTCGCTCTCCAACTCGTCTTTGCAGGCGGTTGCAGGCGATCCGCTCAACCTCAAATCGCGCGGGTTCGCACAGTCTACACCGCGCGTGTCGGCACGCGCGTCCGGTTCGGGCACCGCCGAGGTCGACAGCTCCTGGACCGAGACGCCGCAGCAACGCATGGAGCGGATGCGCGCCCAAGTCACCGGCTCCCACCCCGCCCCAGCCGACGCAGACGAGCTGGAACGCCAACGCACAGCACGCAGAGACGCGCATATCGCAGCGCAGCTGCAAGATGCACGTCAATCCACCTCGCTCGTGCAGCAGCACAATGATCGGCGCAAGCGCGACATGCAGCGCCAACTCGAGGACCGCGACGACAGCAGGAAGGACCGACGCCACCGCGACAGGGACTCACATCGTAGCAGCGAGTCACGCCGCGACCGCGACCGCGACCGCGACCGCGAACGACACCGTCACCATCGACGGGATCGATCCAAATCTCCTCGCGGTAGGGATGAAGAGAAGAGACACTCGCGACGCGATGAGCGCGATGAGCGCGACCAGCGACACAAGGACCGCAAAGGCAGCCGTAGCAGCCGCAGTGGAGACAAGGAGAGGGAGGAGAAAAAGTCACGCAAGCAGCGCGAGCAAGACGACGTGCGTGCAGGCAAGGCTGCCGCACCCATGCTATGGGACCGCGATGCAGCGCTCAGCATCGGTGGCCGCCTGATGGACGAGAAGAAGCGCGGCAAACTCATGGCCGACGCCTCGGCGCTCGGCGACCGCTTTGGCTCCGGCTCCCGCCGCTTTCTCTGATGCTCATTCGCACCAAGGCCGTATCAGCCGCAGACCTCAATGACAATGCACTAGGAATTGCGCCAAGAACGCGCGCCGCCCTACTGAAGCTTGAGCTGCCACCGTCCGCGATATCGGATCTTGGGTTGTTACTTGCATGCCACCTCCTCGGCCCTCTTCTTGATGGCCTGATTGAACGCCTCGAATCCGTTCTTCGTCTTGGCGCCCATGCCCAACCAAGCCATGAGCGGGGTGTACAGCACGCCTCCGAACTCCTCCCGATGCTCCAGCCTCGTGCCCTCTGCATCCTGATGCAACAAAAAGAGGTGTCTGCCATCGAACAGGCCCGGCCAGTTGGCCAGATGACCCTGCCATCCAAGTCCCCGATCGTCGAGCAGCACGACGGTGGGTGTCATGGTCATGGCTGATCCGCCCGGCGGCTCGATGCGGACGCTCAGCTTCGCTCCCACGGCGAGATTGTCGGTGCTGATCGAGGTGACAAAGCTCGACCAGTGCGGGTATGACGCGAAATCGAGCAGCACGCTGCGCACCACCTCGATGGGGGCGGCAATGTCGACGCTCGTCGAGATGACTCTGTTGGCGGGGTGGTTGACGTTCGACATGGTTGTCGCTTCGCAAACAGCATGCAAGAGGAAGGGGCGAGTTTTATATGCGAACCCTGTCGGAGGTTCAAATGAGCCTTTTTTGTGGGCATCTCCGTGGAGATCATCCACGCATTTTCATCATTCGACGTGCCATCTGGGCCTCTTCATCGGTTCGACACACCAACCACGGCACGGACCCATCCCCCTCCAATCCGAGCTCTGCACGACGCAGCTGACGGCAATCTTCACTGGCCTTGGTCGCGCTGTCGGCGGGGGCGAGGGGGGACATGGCGAGCGCCTGTGCCAAGGCGACATGCAGCTCCTGGCTCGCCTCTCCAATACCGCCGGTAAACACGACCGCATGCACTCCGCCACGTGCACTCATCTTGGCCGCATAACTCCCCACAAAGCCGACGAGACGATCGACATACACATCCAACGCCAACTTTGCCCTCTTCCCTTCGCTGCTGTCCGTCTTGTGCCGTTGGACGATGGTCCTGAAATCGCTCGTGCCCGCGACGGCTTTGAAGCCGCTCTGCTCGTTGAGCACCGCTTCGGCGCGCGTAACACCCGAGGGCTGCCTCTCGTTCGCGTTGGGAATGTGCATCACCAGCACGGGGTCTACTGTCCCACACCTGGTTGCGCCCGGCAACCCTTCGAGCGGCGTGAGTCCCATGGACGTATCGAAGCTGCGACCACCTACTACCGCGCACACTGAGCTTCCTGCGCCCAGGTGACACAGGATGGCATTCACCTCTCCCCTCTCCCTCCCTAGCAGCGCGGGGAGAGTGTGCAGAACTGCTTCGTACGACAGACCGTGGAAGCCCCACTTGCGCATCTCCATGCCACCGGGCAATGCGCTCCCCGCCAACTCCCGGTCTAGCATGTACCTGCCTCGAACTTCGTCGATGGTTGCGTGGAAGTGCGTGTCGAAGCAGCACACGTTCTCGCAGTCCCGCAACACCGGCGATGCTAGACACGCACGGATCAGCATAACCGACACGGCGTTGTGCAGCGGCGCGAATCGCGCCAGCCACTCGAGCGTTTGCAAATGGTGCTGATCGCTCCTCGTGATGGCCAGGCCCGACTCGAGGTGTGCACCATGCACGACTCGGTGCACCACCGTCCGGATAGCCAGCTCTTCATACCTGCCCAGTAGCGCAAGGACGTGGTGCAGCACACCGGGCGAGATGGCGCGCCAGTCTTGCTCCTCCTCGTACTCTCCGCTTTCGTGCTGGATGCACACCCGCGCATTGTGCTCGGTGAGCTTGACTGATCCAGCGAGCACGGCGTGCAGCTCGGGCGTCGCGCGATACACCTTGAACTTAAGCGACGAAGACCCACTACCCACCGACCCAGACGAACATCAGCATTGCAACATCCCATCGAGACGCGCGTGGCGAGACTTACGCATTCAGGCACAGCACGTGCCCCGCATCCTCGGCATCGTCATGCTTGGATCGCTGCATCTTGCGTATCGACTCGATGTTCTGTGTCGGGTGATGGTGGCTCGACAAACCGGCTCCTCGATCTGCACTCCTTATAGGTGCGCGGCTGCGGTGGCGAGAGTGACTCAGCACACTTGCCCCTCGGCACCAGCCCAGTCGTGCCTTGACTCACCACCGCCATCCCTTGGCCACTTCCATGCGTCCGTCTCTGCGCGTCCAGCTCTGGTCGTCTTGGACTGCCACGCCACCTCTTGGCATCAAGACAGAGGCCTATCTGGCCGTCTCCGTCCGCCGAATTCCGTCGACAGACTGCAGAGACGGCTCGTCGTCGGCCGTTCACCGCTAGCGTCTCTGGACAGTCCACGCGCTGAATTCAAATCGACGCAGAGCCGGCGGTCGTACAGCACGACTGCGCTTTCGTCCATCGCCGTCCATCTAATCTCGCATGACCGACCTTCTGCTGATGCGCAAAGATCCGCTTTCTCCGCCCGAGAATCTTGCTGTCGTGCACAATGCTGAAGCTGAGTCGAATGACGATGCATCGCAGCAAATCCCTCTTCAAACGTGCACAAAACGGATTCCGATTCGTCGCGATGGTGCCTAATCATACAACAAGAACACTCCTTCAACCACAAGGCTATGGCTGGTCTGCTTCGGCCTTTCCATCAGGCAATGCGCAGGCAAGCCGTCGATCGTGAGGAGCTGGCCGAGCGGTGTCGCCAAGAGACATGTCGATGCTGCACAACCAAACTCGTTTTTTCCCGCCCCTTCGCCTGGCCTGTCGTTGCCTTACCTGTGCCACGGAAACGAGCATCATCGTCGTGCCACCCTGCACCTCGTCGATGGTCGCTCCGACACCGCGAGCGCCTTCACACGTCCAGCTCCGGCGGGTCGCAACCGTGCTCGTCGATGTACGTCTGCCACTTTTGCCTCGTCTCCTGCAGGCTCGTCTGCAGCTCGACAAACTCGTCGCTCACGACCATACGCAGCAGTCGGGCATCGACCCGGCGCCAGTCCTCCTTGAGATCGTGTTTGTGAATGAGGAGGTCGAGCGCCGTGAGCGCGACAGTGAATCGGTCGACACCGTTCAGCATGAGCATGCTGAATGGCGTCGTCGTGGTCCCCTGCTCCCTATACCCCAGAACCGCAGTCGGTCTCCTGCCCCACACGTCCGACAGCCGATCTCCCAACAAGCCCTTGACCGCCGTGGGGTACCCGTGGAAGTTGAACAGCACGGGCGCTTCGGTCGTAAAGAGCGCCTGGAACGACCAAGCGTCCAGCGCATGCGGATGCACCGACCTCTCGCTGAGAACCATCAGATCCGTCACATTGACGAACCTCGCCCTGATGCTCTCCTTTCCTCCAAGACCCTTGAGCAATTCCGTCGCCGCAATCGCTTCAGCCGTAGTCTCGGTGCCAATGCCGACAATCACCACATCCGGGTTTCCGAGCTTGTCGTTCGAGTAGGCATGCCAGATGCTAGCGCCTGCCTTGCAGTGCCTATTTGCCTCGTCCGCGCCCAAAAAGACGCGGTTCGGATGCTTGCTGCCCACCACCAGATTCACATAGTGACGGCTGCGCACGCAGTGCGACAGCGTCGACAGCGCACAGTTGGCATCCGGTGGCAGATACACGCGCGCCACATTGTGCGGCAGATCGAGCACCGCATTGATGAGCCCGGGCGACTGGTGGCTGAATCCATTGCTCTCCTGACGCCACAGCGTCGAAGTCTCGAGGTACGTGATCGACGGCACGGGCGATCGCCATCCCGTCGCGCGCGCCTCCTTGACGAACTTGGCAAACTGGCTGATCATCGTCGTGACGATGCCGAGAAAGGCTTCGTAGCTCGGAAATACACCGATGCGACCCGTGAGTGCATAGCCCTGCGCGAAAGCCTGTAGCGTGTGCTCGCTAAGCATTTCGATCACGCGTCCGGATCGCATGCCTTGGCGCCGCTCCGTACCCGTGACTTGGCTCTCGAAGACGTGCTCAAACTTGCGCCCCTTGAAGTCAGCGAGCGACAGCGCAGCATCGAGCTTGTTCGACACCAGCTCGTCCGGAGAAAAGATGAGCAGCCGGTCCGGGTTGAGCGGAATGAGCGCAGCCAGGTACGCACCGCACTGCTGCATCGCAGAGACCTGCACCTTTTTGTCCGCAGCCGAGGTCTCCGAGTCGACCATGAATCCGCCCGTGCCCACATCGACGAGGTCGGGGCTGCGTTGCGTGAGCTCGCGCAGCTGACCCATGCGCAGCGACTCGCTCGGAAGCATGCGTGTGACCACGGAGCTCATCTCGAGCCGATCGGCACCTTCACCCGCGAGTGCGAACCACATCTGGGGCTGGTACGACCTCAGCCAATCCTCGAGCTTCTTGATGCGATCCGGGGGCGAGTGCGCATCGACGTGCAGCGGCACCTGGTGGCTGCGGAACGAGGCCTCGACCTGCAGCCCATCGACCGTCTGCGGACCCCCCCACCCCTTGGGCGATGACAAGATGATCATGGGCCAGCGCGGCTTATGCACCGGCTCGGCGTTCCTTGCTGCCCTTTGGATCTTGCAAATCTCGTCGTAGGCCCAGTCGAGGCTTGTGGCCATGTCGACATCGAACGCGGCCACCTCTCGCTCTCCCGGCCTCGTGTGCCTGCCGCCGAGATGCTGATAGTAGTCGACGAAGCGCACCTGGTAGCCATAGCCCGTAAAGAGCGCCAGCAGCTCCGAGCGGTCCATCGCGCCAAAGATCGTCTTTTCGCTGATCTTGAACCGGTTCAGATGCAGGATGGGCAGCACAGCACCCGACTCGGCGGGGTCGATAAACTTGTGCGCATGCCACGCCGTTGCCGTCGGTCCGGTCTCTGCCTCGCCGTCGCCAATGACTGCAAATGCGATCAGGTCGCGCTTGTCCATCACAGCTCCGTACGCGACTCCGAGCGCGTAGCCAAGCTCTCCGCCCTCGTGGATCGAGCCGGGCGTCGTGGCCGTCACATGGCTCGGGCGCATCGAGTTGGGCCAGCAAAAGTTCTTGACGAACCTCTGCACACCCGCTGCACTCAGCGCCTCGTCTGGCGAAAACTTGGAGATGGAGCCCTCGAGATACAGGCACGCCAGCACGGCGGGTGCGCCATGTCCCGGACCCGTCACGAAAATGCCCCTAGGCTGGTACTCGTCGCCTGCTGCAGTGGCCTTCTTTTCTGTGCGCGCGAGCAGCGCAGTAGCATGCGCGTAGGCAAACACGAGTCCGGGCACGGTGCCAAAGTGACCCAGAAGCCGCTTCTTCACATGCGCTTCGCAGTCGAGTCCAGTGTGGAGCAGCACATTGTCGAGCAGATAGATCTGCGCCACGGCGAGGTAGTCGGCCGCGCTCTGGAATGCCTGGATGGCTTCGAGGTCGTAGCGGTGTTCGGCGTGTGCATGGTTGGGGAGGACGAGATGCACCTCCTGGTCGCGCAGAGGCACATCCGCGTCGACGTGCGACGGGATCAAGTGAAAGCCAGCAGGAGCCGTCATGGTGTCGTTGAGGGGAGAAAGAGTGCGCCCACCGCCGGCGGCGGGGTCGAGCGCATATATAGGCGACGGCGACGCATTGGCTGAGTCCCGACGCAGCGCGCCTTGGCACCAGCCGTCTCTGCGGCTGGACGAGTGTGACTGATGCCCAAGGGCTGGCTGGCTGGCTCTGGGGCTAGCGCCTTGGCTGCGAGGATGGATGTCACCCGCAGCTGGGCGAAATGGAGCTGGATTGGCGGCGGTGATTCAGCCGGGCAAGATGGTCCCCACTCGGACGCGCAACATGAATCACACGTCCAACAACGCCACTTGCAAGCCTCGCTCGGACCACACAACCGCAGCAGCCCGCTGGATTTCACTCCGAGGAGTCAGCGGCTAGTAGTCACGAGCTTGCACACTCGGGCTCGGGCGGCAGTGTTGCCGTGTTGGCAGTCTGTCTCGGTCGACTGAGGCCGTGGCAGCGCGCGAGGCAGGGTCCGAAGCACGCTCAAAAGGCTGCCCAGCCGCCGAGTGGTGGCGACGTGAGGTGCGGACATTTGGGGTCCAAGAGGCAAGCACGAGACCCTGTCTGCAACTCACGCCGGCCTCAGCCTCGAATGCCAAACCGAGCCGAGTTGCGTGCGTAGCCTTGAGCGGCGTGCGACGCTGCACTGACCGCGCTTGCCGCACGCGCAACCAAGCGCTCGCCATGTCGGCACTGTTCACCTCACTGACGTCTCCGCTCCTCACTGCCTTCACCACACCCTACCCACCCCAAATTTATCTTCATCTGAGCCATCATCTGAATTCGATGCTGCTACTTTTGCTCGAGGTATCTCGTCTTGACCTCTTCAAACTGCGCCCTGCCTCGCGTGTACATCATGGCCCTATCGAGCAGCCACACGACGCCCAACAGCCACCTGACGCCCAAGCTGCCGATCAAGCGCCAGACCGGATCGACCAGCGCCTTGTTCCACCATGCGCGCTTCTGCAGCCTCTCCCGTCTGTACTCGGGTACATCTCCGAGCCTGAGCCACGACGAAAGTTGCTGCATCCAGCTCCAGTGAGCCTGTGGCCTGCCTTTGACACCGGTGTAGGCCAAGTCGGCGGCAACGGGGTGGTCGCTTCTCCAGGCAAAGGTGAGCTGGAAGCCGGGGTAGAGCGTCGAGACCCTGCCTTGGTCGTTTGTATACCAGCCCTTGCAGCCCGAGGTGTAGATGAGGTCGTGCATCTGCGCGCGGATCATGGCATCCTCCTTCTCCTGCGCCTCCTGCTTGACATCCACCGTTCTGCCCGCCGACCTCTGCAACGGCGACATCGACCTTGGTCCGGCAAAGACCGGACGCAGAAGCGTCGTCATCAACCTCACCGATGCCTCGATGGCATACAGTGCCGAAAAGTGCCCCGTGACACTGTTGGGACCCCAAATCAGAAAGAAGTTGGGGAAATCGTGCACGAGGGTTGACCTGTACGCCTGCGGGGCCCCGCCCTTGCGCCAAACATCGTTCAGCTCCCTGCCGCCTCTTCCGGTCACCTTCATCTGCACCGCCGTGTCGCCCGCCTGGAAGCCGGACGCAAGCACGATCACATCCGCCGGCAGCCTGCGTCCGGACTTGAGCACCACCTCGTCCTGCGTAATGCGATGCGCCTGATCGTTGGTGAGATCGACATTGTCCATGTTGAGACACGGAATGTAGGCGTCGTCGAACACGCGTCGCTTGCAGGCGACCTTGAGCTCGTCCTGCGTGGGGATGAGCAGATGGTGGTATCGCTCCGGCGCGACGGTGCTGACGTAAAGCGTCGAGTTGTCGGCAAACCGCTGTCGGGCCGCACTGCCTTCGCGATTCCACGCCTGCAAAAAGTGGATGTCCAACACCACGGTAAAGATGGCTCGTTCGAGCTGGATGAAGCCGGGCACATTGCGCTCGAGCCATCGTACGGCTGGGCTGCGGAAGGGATCCTCGGGTGTGGGGGCATACCAGTGCTTTGCCCTGACGATCTGCGTCACCGACTTGGCCTGCTTGGCGATGCTCGGCACGATCTGCGTGGCGGAACAACCATTGCCCAACACGACCACGTTCTTGCCGCGGGTGTTCACACTAGTATCCCACTTGGCGGAATGGAAGAGCGGCCCTTTGAACTGCTCGTGCCCGTCGACATCGCACTCCCTCGGCACGCTGAGCGCGCCCGAACCATTGACCAGCACGCGCGCCGTGGCAGTCCTGACTTGGCCCGACGTGATGCTGCGGTAGGTGACCTTCCAGTGCGAATGTTGCTCCTGCCATTCTGCCTCCTCTACTTGCGTTCCGAACCTTGCCATGGGATAGAGCTTATAGGTGCGGGCGACGTCCTGGAGGTAGGTCTTCATTTCGGCCTGCTTGGCCATAAAGTGGCGCCACACCTTCTTCTGGTGGAAGGAAAACGAGTAGAGCCTGGGTGGGATGTCGCACGCCGCACCGGGATAGACATTGTGGAACCACGTGCCGCCAAAGTCGGCGCCGCGCTCAAAGATGAGCAGCTTGGTGAGGCCGAGGTGGCGCTGCATCTGGCAGGCTGCAGCGATGCCCGAAGGCCCACCACCGACGATGATCGCCTCGTACTCGGTGGTCGTAGTGCTTGGCATGGCGGTGAGGGCAGCCAAGTATGAGAATGCTGGAGAAGAAGAGGAGAGCCAGACGAGGGATCCGACCCGTGCACTTTTATGGGATGGGCGAGGCTGCCTCCTTTGCGATTTGGCCTCTGGCTTAATGGAATTGGCGCAGCGGATGATCCGAGAGAGGCGGCGCGCAGGTGGACGTGTGGAGACCGGGGCTGTCATGCGGCTCTCGAGGTGCGGCTCTTCAGTCCGTTGCAATTTGGCAGTCCGGCGCTTTTCTTTCGCGCAACCTCCGCCTCTGCTTTATCGCCCATCACCGCGTCACGCCGCCCATTTACCCCGCCCGACCCGGCCTTTCTGCATCCGACGAGTTCATGAACCGCGGACGCTCGACCCCACCTTGACAATCTAACAATTCTGCGCCGCCGCTGCCGCGGTTCGCCTCTTCATCCTGTCAAATGGCGACGCTCGCTGTCACTCGACAGTCGCTCATATTGACCCGTCTGCACATGCTCGGCACTCTCATGCTGAAATGAACATTGAACTTGCATTGCAGTTTCGTTCCGGTACGTTCCGGTGGGTCGTTGCGGCTGTTGCTTTAGATCTGCGCACGCAGGTTATCGTACTGCGTCTGGGTCAGCGGGATGATGGTTCCATGTCGAGCATGGTTACTCGGCTCGTTTGCGGCCGAGTCGAAGGTCCATGTGCCCTGCTGGGTGTTGTTGGTGTTGAGTGCCACATAGCCACGGTTCGTGTACTCGTCCACCCACAGCCACGACTTGCCTGCATCCGTGTTATCCACAAACGCAGTGGGTCCTTCGTTGGCCCCAATCACTCCAGCTCCAATGTTCTCCGTCACCTTGGTCCAGCTTCCGTCCACACCGCCATCGCTGCGCTCCTGGTACACGGTGAGCGGATGAGGGTCCGACGTCGGATTCTCGTTCTTGATGAACCTGTACAGTCCCGTGTTGGTTTGGAGGAACGTCATGTCGAGCACCGAATCGCCCTTCCTGTCCACGTACACTTCCGCGGGGCTGAAGCTGGTGAAGTCGGTGGTGCTTGATCGCATGATGCGGAAGTACGACGATCCCGTGTGGTTCGTATCCGAATCGGGATAGAGCTGCGCGGAAAAGTAGACATCGTACTTCTGCGTCGCGGGATTGTACAGTGCCTCTGGAGCCCAAGCACTTCCACCCTCCTTGCCAATCACCTCCACAAGCCTTGGCTCGGACCAGGACTGCAAATCGTCGCTGCTCTCCCAAACCACGATGCTGCGCGAGCCCAGCGTAGCCGCTTCACCGAACGACGTTCCCGACCCGATGTTAAGGTCGGTAGCGAGCAGGTAAAACTTGCTTCCATCTGCTGAGCGAACGATGCTCGGGTCGCGTACACCCTGCGTACCCACCGTCGACGTCAGGATCGGCTGCCCGCCATTGACCAGGTCCCAGCCCGTGGGAGAGTTGCCCTGACTAACCGCCGCAAAGATCCGCTCTTCACCCGCCGCATTGCCGATAAAGTAGTAGAAGCCGTAGCCGACGTACGTCTCGGCCCGCTCCACCATCCCTACAGGTGCTGAAATCGCCCAAGTCGCCGACAACAACCCCACCGACGCACCAACCAGCGTAGCCTTGAGCACGTTCCACATGATGCAATACTTCGTAAGTAAAGAAGGATGGGTGCAAGAACCCCTAAGATCGCCACTTGGGTCGCACTACTTATACCCGTCGCCCGACCCCTGGACGATGCGTGAGGGTGGGCGGAGATCTCTTCTTGCCCCACTCTCATGCATCATCCCCGCTACTGCACCCGCTCGCTTGCGTTCAGCGCCGCCGATTGTCGCGCCGCCTTCAAGCTGTCTTGGGTTTCACCGACCAACACCGCGTTAGAATGCCGAGACCGGTCAACACCCTGCGGCTTGCCGAGCCAACCAACTCGCAAATCTCATCCCCGCAATTCCCGCTTTCGACTTCTTGGCATCTCGCTAAAATTCGCCGAGGCCAACACCACCTCACCGTGCATATGCCTGCCATCCATGCCATAGATTCCCGCACCCACTCCTCGCGGGTGGAAACGCAACGCCGCGTGGGCACTTTGCATCGGCAATGCCACGTCCGAAGTGCGCAACAGAGACAGGGCATCTGAATCAGGAGCGCACAATGTGGTCGAGCAGCTCGGCGTACTTTACGAGCTCTTCGTCCTTGTACCTGCGCCCGATGAGCTGCAGTCCCACAGGGGCGCCGTTGAACACATCGCGGTGCTGCTCGTACTCTCGCGTGTTGTCCTCGTCAAATTCGCCCATCCACTCCCCCTCCATCCTCGTGTCGTATTCGAACCCATCCACGGCCTTGGGAGGCTGCTTCTCGAACTCGCGATCGAGTGCCGAGTCGGCCACGATGCCCGAGGGAAACACGACACCAGGATAGTCGACGAGATTGAAGACGCTCGTGTAGTTCCAGTACTTGACTGTGCTCGGTCTGGGTGCGACGTTGGCGGTAGCAGGGCAGAGCAGGCAGTCGAGACCGAGCTCGTTCCACGCACGCAGGTATTCGGCCCTGAACGCCTCGCGCATCCTGACGCTCGCCATGACCTCGCTCGCCGACATCTCGTCTTGCTTCCTCGCCTCACCTGCAGTATTGGCAGCTAGATCCGCCTCGGCCGACCGAACAAACGGCTCGGCCAGGATGAACTGCGTCAGCGGCAGTAGCGGCTCGCCCGTCGCGCGCGAGAGCAGGTGAAAGTACTTGCCCGACTCCATAAAGTACAGCGACCGAATCATGTCCCACGCGCGTCGGTGCAGATCGCGCGGCTCCCAACGTCTTAGCTCCACACGCACACCCTTTGCACGCGCAAGCTTGTCCACCCAGTGCCCCAGCGCACGTCGCACAGGTGTCGTCGGCCGCACCACCCCGTCCTCCATCATCACCCCAACCACCAGTGTTTTCTTCCCGCCCGCGAAGAGGCTGTCGACTTTGCGCCATGGCATCGGCAGCGTGAAGTGCTCTCGCTCCCACGGCCGCGTCTTGTCGTTCAGCACGCTCGCCATGAACCGCTCAAGGTCGCGCAACGACTTGGCCATCGGTCCGATCGAAGATCCCACGCCCTCGGCCCCAGGCATGGTCGATCGCACGCCCCCATACGGGATCCTCTGCGTCGTAGGCCTAAGCCCATACAGTCCCGTCACTGCACACGGCTGACGAATGGAGCCGCCGATATCGCTGCCCACACCCAGCGCCACGCCCCCGCCCGCAACGATCGCGCTTTCGCCACCGCTCGATCCGCCCGGGCTCAGCGCAAGGTTCAGCGGATTGAGCGTCTGGCCGTACAGGTTGCTGGTCGTGTCGAGGTGCATCACGCCCTGAGGCATGGTGGTCTTGCAGATGATCACCGCATCCGCATCCAGCAGCAGTTCCACCAGATGCGCATTCGGCCTCTCGCTCACATACCCGCCCTGCGTATCCTTCAACAGCTCCAGCTGCTCCTGTGTGAGGTTCCGCTTGACGAGCGGGTGCGAGGTCGGATCGGGTAGCACATCGAACACAAATCCGCGCTGGTTGCCGAAGCGGTTGTACGGGATGTGTCCTTTCATGCTCATCGGCACGCCGAACAGCGCGCCGAGCTCGTGGAGCCGACCCTCTGCTTGGAACCGGCTGCGCTTCTCGTCGAGCTGCTGAGCACGCTGCAGAGCGTCGTCCGCCAGCATCTGCGCCAGGCAGTTGGTCGCCTGATGCACCACCGACGCCTTCTTGACAAAGTGCTGCGTCACAGCCAAAACCGACACCTTGCCCGACGTGGTGAGCTCGGCGATGGCCGAAGCATCGCGCCCGTCGAGGAGCGCATCGAGCTCGGAGGACCATACGGTCTTTGTCGGTTCGTTTTGCACCAGCAGCGCGAGCGCAGGGCCGGGTACGTCGCTCGACGGCGGCTCGAGCACGGCGTTGGCACGTTCCCTCCACTCGGTCAGCTTGGCGTCGGTGCAGACGGTGGAGGGCGGCAGCTGGAGTGTGCGCCGGTGCTCGGCGACAATGTCCAGGCAGGTATCGCACGCGTCGTAGTTGGGTTGGGCGGACATGTTGAATGCAGAGATGTTGTGAGGATGGCGGATGTGGTGGTGAGAGGGCAAGGGCAAGCGAGAGCCAGCAAGCATACGGCACCCAGCACGCTGCGTTTCGTAGGCGAGAGGCGGACAGCTGGAGAGCCCAACCTTGAACCCTGCGAGGTTGGATCCAAAGCGCCGTTCAAGAAGCCGAGCTGAATCCACGCAGGGCCCGTGCATCGATGCATCGCCGATTCAACACGCCAAAAAATGAGATATTCATATCGGCGATAGCGTGTCCGGACAGCTGGCTCGACGTGACGGGTCGAGGCCGCGGCGCGCGATCCTGTCCGTGTCTCAAGAGCCTCCGTCATGACTCTGTGGCGAGGGTCAATTTTGTCAATGGGCCCCCGCATTCCTCTTGTGGATCGGCTTCGTATGGAAAGCTGCGATCGCACGTCACATGTGTGGCAATTGTGAGCGCTGTCTTGCAGTGTGAGACCTGGGGTAGCACATGCTGAGCTGAGGAACCCGACGGCTCGCACGCCGTGACGGTGTGCGCATCCCGTCGGCTGCACAAGCGGACAGCATACGGTGCTGCTAGCAGCGGCCTAGACGAGCGCCTTGGCTGATCACCTTGGCTCGGCCCGATGCGATGTCGAGGCGAGCCCAACGGCGGATGGCGGATGGCGGATCGCGGATCGCGGTAAGCGCGCGGCGAGACGCGCCATCGAGTCACTGCGCGATGCGTCGAGGCTGTGTTTGTGCCACGCTGCGCGGACGATCATCCTGCAGCTAGCAGCATTGCTTGCTGATCTCTTTGCACGTTGCTGCACAGGGGCGGTGTTGGCGCATCATGGAGCCCCTATCGTCGGAGTATATGGGGAGCTGCGCCCAGCCATCCGGAGCAAAGTGACCGCTATCCATCTTATCTGCCCACGAGCATTCGCGAGTGTGAGAGAGGGATTTGAGGCGTTCGAGCCGCTGAAAGATGCATCAAAATGCGGAGCCTGCAGGGCCAAGACATTTTGATTTCTTTCGCTTCGCGCCTAATTTGGCGCTGAGCAGCAGCTGCTGCACAAAAGGGCCATGGCGGGACTCCCTGCATCGTCATCTTGCCGAAGGCGTCTCGTCGAGGGTGCGACTCCTACCGTCTGCAGCAGAGAGTGAGTGAGTGTCGAGGCCGCGTTCGAGAGGGACCGGGAACGTGATAGTGACAGCACAGCCTCCTGCCCACGGCAGCATCGACGGCGGTCATTGTGCGGTTGCACGCTAAGCGACTCTCTTGGCACTGGGCCCTTGCACGTTGCGTGGGCGTTCGGGAGCCAGATACCGAGCGGTCGTGGCTCGTATGTTCTGCGTCGACAATGCCTTTGGCTGGTGGTTGCTGGCTGGCTGGCTGGCTGACTGGCTGGCTGGCTTGCACAGCGAGGAGACCGTCGCAAGCCACCAAGTCGCACCAGCCTCCATTGGCTCGAGCTTTCATCCCATTTCACACGACCCACTGCACCGCTGCAACTAGCTTCGTCGCAACCCACCGAGTTCCAGCGTGGATCTTTCTCCGCCTTCTCTGCACGCTCAACACAGCCATGCATTGAGGTGGGCCGGACGAGCGCTGCGAGCTTGAGGGAGCAGCTACAGTAGCTGGACCCTGGCAACGTTCGGGAGGGGCTGCGATGCGCAATTCGGTCGCCGCTTCCCTGCGCGCAGCTGCGGCGTCTCGCCCTCTCCTCGTCGCGCAGACACTGCCAGCCCAGGCCTGGCACATTCGGAGGTGCCGAGGAGATCTTGCTACGCCTCGAGCACAACAGCTTGCTGAGCATGTCGACAGCATCTACGTTTGGCTGTGGTGGAAACTGGACAAAGCGGTGGCGAGCCGGATGCGTGGTTCACAACAACTGCACGGTTGGTGGGCAATCCTGCACTCGAGCGACACGCGCAGCACAGCTACACTAAGCACAACACAGCACCGCACCGCACCGTAGCGCACAGCACAGCACAGCGTGACCAAGAGACTGGCTCGCAAAGCATTCTATTTTTCGTGTTTTATTTTTATTCAATTTTATTTAATTTTCCCACCGCACTTTCATGCAGGCGAGCAGAGGCGTAAAGGCTTTGGGCCCTTTCAGCTGCAAGGCCGCCATGCTCCCATTCCCAGCTGGCGGTCGGCTACTGTGCCCTCTGCGCTTTAGCGTGAGTCGGTTCTCTCGCGTGCGTCTGCGCCGGTCCCCGTGCGCTCCGGCTTGCTTAGTCGGCCTCGACCCTGGCTTTGGTCCTTTGGCGCCCCGACTCGATACCCGCCCTGCACACCGCCTCGAGCCGACTTACTCAACTCAGCACGCGCAGCTCCAGCCACCACCATCCCACCGCCGCCCGCCGCCCGCTGCCTGGGCCCTGTCCAATTTTGGCTTCGCTCCACACGACCAAAAAAACCGGTCCCACTCGCAGCTCCCAGCCTCGCTTCACTCGCTCGCTACAGTGCAAGCGCCAAAGGCCCATTCCCGCTCGACGGACCTCAGCCCACCTATGCTCCGCCCCCTCTTCACCACCAACTCCCTACTCAAACTCTCCAACGACTTTACCACCGACCTTGGCTCAAGAGCGCCTGAACC